GTTGCTACTTTATCACACCATTTCGCTCCTTATAGCTATTTTTATTATTCATAATGGTCAACCACTTGGATTTGAACCTTTCTATTTAATCGCTACTCCAGCTCGGTAAACGCATTCTATCCCCATCTCTTTTATTAGTGGCCACAAGTGTCTGTGTCCAGCCAACCGGCTGTTGAAAAACGCTCTTTTTCTCGGCAGTCGAACGCCAGCGACCATTCACGCCTTTCTGCCGGCGTCTCAGGTTTCTTGCCTTTGGGTGCTAGTTTACCTCGACTTCCCATGCTTCCACCATGCTCTGGTGCTGCCACGGGTCCCAGCACCCTGGCCGCCTTTTTGAACTCACCTGGACGCCAAGGGCTACCTTCTTTACCTGGATCTGCATTCATGCCTCCACCACCGCCACCAGGTCTCATCTTCCCCCCCTTCCCACATCTTGGTCTTAATGCGGTTATCCCATCTACTGCTACTTTTTCTCCACCTCCACACAAACCCCCCTCTGACCCTGGTTCTCCGTCCTCCAACCGAATCCAACAAGAAGAATCCGCTCGAAGTGTATTTTGTCCCTCCAACATAAACTGATGCCGTTAAGAATTATTTTCTTCCCTGATGCGATCTTTCCTTTTTCTAATTGATTGCATTTCTAATATCAGTTTAGCCAATCTCTCTTTTTTTCCTCCGACTTGGTCAATTCCCACTTATCATCATTTTACTTCTTAATTTTTGTCCTAAGTTCTTTATCATGCTCTCCCTTTTCCACCACAGCTCATAGCAGATTGAAAGTACATTGACCTTCTTATACGTACAACTTACACATTTATTCTTACTACCTACCTTCATAGTTTTTCATTCTTGTCTCGATATTTAAGAAATATTTTCTCCTAAATCCTTGTTTCGGTACCTACTGTTTACAGATAATTTTACATATGATGTCTCATCTCTTGTGAACATCCACTTTACGCACATAACTCTATATTGGTGTCTTTCGACACCCTATTTCACCTTTAATAATGGACTGGTATTCTTTTAAAACCTCGATTTGCTTAGTCTATACTTTTCGTATTGATGCCCTCATTCCATATTTCAGGCTCGACCTACTTTCTATTCTTTTGGGCGGCTCCACGTTCTTGTTTTACTGTAGAATAACCATAAAAACTACAAAACTTTTCCCCACGAGATGTTTTTTCTGTATTCTCAACTTTTTTTTACTCGTTAGCTGGATTTTTCACTTATTTTTCAGGCATTAATTGTTTCTTTGATTGTTTACGAAAAGATTTAACTCGCGCCCTTTCCACATTTTTTATACAATTTGGTCTTTAATAGTGGGAAATTCATTTTTATTTGTTCATGACCTCATGTCTAAATGGATCATTATTCTCATTTTCGTGGAAAACCACACGGCATATATTTGTGTTTCTTCCCCATTTCGTTCGAAGATTAACGGTTTGTTCATCATAAGCGGATTTATGAAATGAATAATCGCTAATTCTGCAGCTTAAATAGGTCTTAAAGTAGAGCTTTGTGAAATTTACGAAACTGTGATTTGAGGAGCGGTCTAAAGGTATGTGAATGAACTCGCTAAGTAAAAGAGTTGACTACAATCAGCTAAGATTATTATATTCATAATGAGTGGAGTAATGGGTTTTTTTCGAAGGTATGAAGACCAAGATGGTGTGGCCTTTTATGTGGTCGCAGTCTCCTTTCGTTGTATAGTGGTTGTTTT